ACCTCAGCTGCTTGAGTGATCTCAGGGAAAACCAGCAGAACAGCCCAAATTACCTGTAGAATTTTGAGAAATAACATATTGTGTTTTAAGCCATTAAGTTTTGGGTTGGTTTGTTATACTTCAGTAAATAACTGAAATGAGACTGAATAAAAACAAAGCCAATATATATTAGAATTATAGGATAAAATTAAAGCAATAGAGAATAATTTATAGCCTAAAATACATATATTGGAAACAAAGATTGAAAAATCAATGAATTAATTATTTAAATAAAGTAGTAAAGGGAAAGCAAGGAAACCCAAAGAAATTATAATTGAGAAAATGATAAGGAATAGAAATAATTGAAAATTTTAACCAGGACATAATAGGATTAACAAAATTATGAGCCGATTTTTGCAGAACAGTGAACAGACAAACCTCTTGCATGACTAAGAATTTTCTTTAAAAAGGGAAGACATAAATAATATTAACAGCAAAATGGAGACTAAATTAAAATCATTGGCTATTTTTTTTTTCTATCTCCAGTAATGGGTATAAGCAAAATCATTGGCTATTCTTATTCCATTAATCATTTAAAAAAAGTAAATCACTGGCTACAATTTATACCCATTTATGACTTTTAAAAAAGCAAACTAGCTTTTTTCTTTTTTTTTTTTTTACCGTATCCCTGAAACACCAAAACTAGCTTTTTAAAAATCTGAAACTACATCTCCCAAAATCTATACTATTATATGAAATGGTGAAGAGTTAGAAGCATTCCTTTTGAAGTCAGGAACAAGTTAAGGAACTATTACTTCTACTTGAAACTATACTGGAGGTTCCATAAAGGCCATAATACACATACATATACACATAAAAGAAATTGAAGGTAAAAAGATTCGGTAGGAACCCAAGAAAATCTACAAGCAAACTGAAAGATGTAATAAAAGAGCTCAGTACTGAAATGGTAGATAAAAACCTAACAATAATGGTTACTAGTCAGGGCAGGGGTTGGGGAATAGAGTATATAGGGAGATGTGTGGAAGCAAAACTCAATGTATGCTTTATTATATCCTTTGGACTTTTGAATCACATAAATGTAGTCAATGAAGATATACACAAAGAAGTGGGTAGACAAGGTTGCTTGATAAAAGATCAATATAAAAATCAATATTATCAAAATCAGGTATCAGGAAAAATCAATTTGAAAGTCTAATTTTTTTTTTTTTTTT